AATATGCTGACTCTCTGTAAACCGCTTAGAGAGGGCTGAAAGCCCTATGAAGCGGTATATAAGTCTACTGCTATTGCTATTGCTAAAAAATTCCGCAAGAGTTTCCACCTTGCAGCTTTATTCACTACATCTCCCACATGAGCTGACCTGTAGCATCTACATTAGGACCACTCTTTGCTGCCATCCATTTCTAAATTTCTTCCCTTCCTGCTCTTTTCACCTGTCTCAGTTCTTTCTGCTGAATTTGCTTAGACTAAAGCAGGGTCTTGAGCAATGTTCCTATCTGTATTTTAAAAAATAGATTCCTGCTTTCAGTGCTCACATCTTATGCAAGACGCTCTTCTGCTTTGCTTTTCTTCTTTTTAAAACTAAAACACAATTGGGAGAAGGAGGCAATTTGTTCAGTGGGAAAGGGGAATTAATTGTTTTTCTGCATATTATTATTTTCTTGATTAATATTGGCGTCTCCCAGATGCAATATTTTTTTTCAGAAATCAATATCAGCAATATTTATCCAGCACAAAGGATTCAGCTATTTCAATGAGGTGAGTAAAAAGGTCCCAGTAGATTCTGCCAAGTGTAAAGAAGAATTTCTTCACTTCTTTTCTAATTTAAAACCAATTACATAAGATTAGGCCCAAAAAGAAATGGCGAATAGAAAAGAAGAGGAGGTAGGTTGAAGGGGAAACAAACTATTGGCAGCCCCAGACATTTTTGAAGCTTGAAGATCATTCATTACATCAATTGAGTCCATGGCTGGAAGTTTTAGTTCAACACATCTGGACAGCAGGTTAAGAAAAGCTGGGTTGGATCTTAAATTGGGCAATACATGTTACATTTTAGAATTGTAAATGTAATCATAAGTATCAGATTTGGAATAGTAACAATAAAACTATAATCCAATGTACCTAAACATCTGATAAAAATATAATTTAGGAATTTGTGTTTGGATAATATACATTAAAAGTATGATAGGATATGTTGTTATTATTCCTATTATTCAGCCTACAGTATATGATTCAGGAGCATTTAAGTTTGCAAAATGCAAATCCATTCTAAGAACCAAAACAAGCCATTTGAAGGCAAACAACCCTGGGGAGACTTCTGACTATCAACGTTGCAAGGGTGATCTAAAAAAAACAACCACAGCAGGGACGGCAAATGAGAGCTACCTGACATATTACAGGGAAGAATGAATGCACAAATATGTGCATTCATTTTTTTCCTCCTTATTGGATAATATTTACAGAGATTCTCCTTTGTTGTCAAATGCATGAACGTTTACAAGTGGAAAGTATTCATTTCATTACTGCATACATACAAATATTCCTCTAAAAAAACATTAGTGCACAAGCAGAGGTCTTCGGAGCAAGCCACAATCTTGTCAGAATGGAGAAACATGGATTGCAATATCATTATGTAAGCTCCACCCTTTGCATATTTGTGTCACACAGGCTTGACAAAAGGCTGGAATTTGCATCACAATGATGCAACGGATATTTTGTGATTTACTCTCTTTTGCTTCTCCCCGCTGTTGTTTATGTGCACAAGTGAGACATGCAACTATCTCTTTCTTGAACTATCAGACATCTCTGCATTGTTTCAGAAACTAGGAAATGTTTGTTTAGGTCTTTCCATTATGTTATTTTGCAACAACAGAGCACACATGTTACAATCATAGACAAGGGTTAGATAACTCCTTATTCATCTAAAGATTATATAATGGATGTCATCTTAACACAGCATCTCTGCTTGCACAGTAATAGTAGATAGAAAACCTCCAGTGATAGAGCACCCACTATTTTGGGAGGCAAGCTGTTCCATTGATTAATTGTTCTCAGTGTCAGGAAATTTCTCCTTAGCGTCAACACATCCTAGGTGAAGCTACAAGCAGCAATATTTGAAGGAATTGTAATAGACTTCTATTTTTCTTAGGTATGATACTCTGAAAAATGCAACATTCTCCTACCGAGAAACAATTCCTCACATGTAAACAATAGGATCCAATTGTCCATAGAGAACCTGCCCATGTGTTGAGCTAACAACCATTCCTCTAAAAAGACAATTTTGCAAAAAAGGGGGGGCGAGGGGGGGAGACCTTCTTGTTAGCAAACCTTTGCTGTGTTAAAGAGCCTTTTCTGAGCAGAGCTAGCTGAGAGGATCTGTGCTCCGGGAGGAAGAGGAGGCTTGGGGAGGGCCGCACTTACAGCTCTCTGACAAAAAGGGCCTTCATGCACCATGTTTATGGAGCACCTGCAGCGGGAACAGCAATCCGGGGATTCTATGGCTCAGCTGTGCATCTGCTTTATAAGCCATTGATTGGGCACTTCTCGTCCCAGATCTCGGGCTTTGAAGATGCAGCTGGGCTATCAGAATGCTGTTCCAGAACCTCTCACAACAAATGAAGTGTTTAGAGTGGGAGGAAGCAGGAGGGCAAAGACGGGGGACGCAACTGCTCAGGAGAATGTCAGCTCCAATTCTACAGAAGCCGCTCAGGGAGACTGGCGGAATCCCACTTCCTCTCTCCAATGTAAGGAGATAAACTCAGGCTGGCCAGGACAGATAATCTGCAGCCTTGCCAAGGTTACTGAACTGGTCTTAATCTGCAAAGGTGGTTGGAGCTACAAATGAAAAGACAGATGATGCTATAAATACCACAGTATGGACCAAAATAGTAACTCTGAAAAGAAAAAAGGAATAACTAGTGAAAATTCTTGAGTTTAATGCAGAAAGGAAACTGTCTAGCACTCTTAAGGAAATTGCCTTTATAATATTTAAGGCCTTTGTGGAGACAATGAGGTGATCACTGAGACAGTAGCAGAAGTGGCATTCAGCAGGTTCTGACCAGTTCTGGAGAACCGGTAGCAGAAATTTTGAGTAGTTCAGAGAACCAGTAAATACCACCTCTGACTGGCCCCGCCCCCATCTATTCTCTGCCTCCCGAGTCCCAGCTGATCAGGAGGAACTGGGGATTTTGCAGTAACCTTTCCCTGGAGTGGGGAGGGAATGGAGATTTTACAATATCCTTCC